GAGGTGAGGATGCAGACAGAGGAGGGAGAGGCAGCCAACTCTGGCCAGCAGCCACACAGGTGATGAGCATGGTGTCTTCCAGGGCCAGGTAGTGATATGGCCGGATATGGAGACATCAGGATATACAGGCCTCTGGGGACAACAGGGTCCACATACACAAAAGGCCTACAAAGTCAGCATGTGGCCCCTCATCACCAACCAGGCCCGAACCTCTTCTGTAAAGTGCTCCCTGCCCGGAGGTCATCTTGCCAGAGAGCTTCGGTGGAGAAAATGAGAAGATACAGCATTTAATGTTTTGTGTAATGAGGCCTGAAATAGATGACAGCTGAGATCCAAGCCCTCAGGTACCAGCAAGGTGTTTGAATACTGACAATCCATAAAAGCCTCACATTCTACTCCGAGTCACCACTGGCCTGAATCTCAGAGGTGGGGGCAGCTTTCTCAACTCTTGGCTCTGGTAGCCTGCTTGGGTTCTGTTAATGATCTGAATGGGGGCGTTGGTGGCAACCTGTTTTCAAACATTGGATAACAAAATGGACACAAAAGCAAGATCTTTAGCTGTCACTGAGAAAGGTGGCGTCTTCCAGGTCAGTCTCAAGTCACGTCTTAGCCCCATTTGTGGGGTCTGTTTCCAAATTCTGACAGCGACCCTACTGAGCACAGACCTCTGACTGACTTCAGAAGGCTTTTGTATAAGACGTAGGGCCCAGCAAGAAGCTGAGCAACACGCTGATTAGTTCTGATTCACACGGTCTTGCAGTCTTGCTGATGCCTGGAAGCTGGGTGTCCAAGCCACCTGGTGTCCTGTTTCCTGCCTGACTAGGAGAAGTTCAGGGCCCCCAGGCAGCCTGCACCTGAGGATCCAGACCTTCCTGTTCTTGGGAAGTTCCAAGATGCAATCACAGGAGGTGAGGTTCAAGGCAGGCAGAGGTGTCTGGCCAGTGGGGCATTCTGTCTTCCATGACTGATATTGCACATGAGGACACTGGATTCAAAGACTCGTTAGTGTGCTTGACTCAACAGGGGAGGCTGGCTCTTCATTATTTAAACTTGACTTTTTATATTGAGGGCAATGTAAAGTCCCATGCAGTAGTACGGAATAATATAGAGGCATTTGGGTAACTTTACCCGCTTTCCCCCAGTGGTAGCATCTGTCCTACAACATCATAGCCCGGATGCTGACAGTGGACAGCTGAGGCACAGAACACTTCCTCTGGAGCCCTCTTGGAGCCACATGACTGCTGGGGTAATAGACATTTAGTCAGACAGGAGTCCAGGTGGAAGGAAATCACTTGGTGAGTCTCAGCCATGGTTGTCCAGATCATGCTTCTCACTATATTCTGGGCACCTCTGACCCAGTTGGCAATGGGCTGACTCTTAGGGACATCTTCTCGAATGGTTTTAGACATGTGAAGTGGGAGAGATTACCCTGGTAATGCTTCAGTTACTTAGAGGCAAGGGCAGTTCCTGGTAACCTTTGTCTCCTGCTAGTGCAGAGCGGATTGTGGGTTGTTTTTCTCTGTGCTACTCATTCAGCTATGTAGTTCTTTAGAAGGTGTGTGAAGAGAGCTGGATCTAGATGATTTTTGACCATTATTCCAGGTCAGTTCAGAAGCCTAGATTCTTCACATACTTACTGACTAATGAGGTCTGGGAGAGTCTACAAACAACCATCATTTCAAAGTCACAACAAGTGTAAACAAAACTGTGAAATACTGGCAACAGCTGGAATGTCACATGTATATCCATGATTCCCAGTAGGCAGAGTCACAAGCCTTGCTTCACAGGAGCCTTCACATCTGCTACTGTGGGTAACTTATACCCCCACTCCATCCAATGGGCAAATTCTTATGTGGCAGTCCTAACTGCCCATAAGTCAGAGTGACCTTATGTGCAAACAGTGATTGCAGATAAATTTAGTTAAGACAAGGTCAGACCAGAGTTCCGTGAGTTCCTGATTCAGTACAGACTAGTGAAGGGGGAATCAAGCTGGACACAGTACAGTGAGAAGACCTGGGAAAAGGAAGGCAGAGAGGGGGCAGTGGGTCTGTGAGACACAGAACACCAAGGATGGCCAGTAGCTAAGAGAAGTTAGGAGAAAAGAAGAACAGATTCTTCCTCACAACCATGAGAAGCAATTAACCCTACTGACACCTTGGTCTTAGACTTCCAGCCTGCAGAGCTGTGACACAAAATATTTCGGTTGATTAAGCTGCCCAGTTTGTGGCACAGTTATGACCCTACCACACTAATAACCCTTCCATTCACAATGAACAGAAATGCTAAATTTCAGTTAGAGGTTAATAAGAATACAACTGTGGGTTTTTTTCCCCATCCAGGTTTATGGAACTCCCGAATTTTATCCATAAGCCCTGCCAATGAGTCATACCCAAGGCCGTGTACTTTATAAAAGAAAGAGGTTTACGTAAGCTCACAGTGCCAGAGATTCAAGGGCAGAGTGCTGGTGGCTGCTTGGCTCTGGCGAGGGCCTCCCTGGCTGCAACACAACATGACCATGGTATCCTTGGAGGGGGATGTGCGACAGGAAGGGAGCACAGGGAGAGGCAGAGGCCAGAGAGTGAGATGGCCAGTCTTGCTCCTTTAAAACAACTCATTCCCAGAGAAGGAACTCATTCCATAGACCAGCATTAGTCCCTTCCAGGCCACACCCACAAGGACCAAGTCCCTCCCACTAGGCTCTGGCTCTTAAAGGCTCCAGTACCTTCCAACGTCACTATGTTGGGACCAAGCTTCTAACAAATACCCTTGGGGCATGCATTCAAGTGATATCCAGGCCACAGCAGACCCTTTGGTGGGACAGAAGAGTCACAAAGAGAAACACGATAGAATCATCATCTTCAATGCAGGTCTCACCACTTGGTTGCTCTACCCTAGTCCAGGCCTCACTAAACCTTTGTCAGAGTCCCATCAGCCTCTGTGTCTCACATCTAATGTCACTGCTAGACAGCAGATGGCTGTTTTGTGGTTATCTGCTTTCAGAGATGGGGGACCCAGTGACCACAGAAGCCAAGACCCTTCACTGGTCTGGGGCTCTGTCTCAGAGCTGGCCAAATGCCTTGCTCAGCAAACACTATCAAGGCCCAGGCCAGCAGCCTAGTCATGAATTCTTTTTTGTTTTGCAGTCCTAGGGATTGAACTCAGGGTATTTGCAGTGAGTTACATTTCCAGTCTATTCATTCATTTATATTTTGAGGAAAGGTTTCATGAAATCACTAAGTTGCCCAGGGTGGGCCCAAACTTGGAATTCTCCTGTGTCAACCTCCCAGAGTTCTGGGATTACAAGCGTGTACCACCACACCTAGCTAAATTCATGCATTCTTGAGGCAAAGAATTTGTCATGCTACCTTTAGGTAGTGAGTTTTTTCAGTCTTATATACAAGGTCCTCCTTACAAATTTTCCGAAGGCACTTCTCACTTGTAACCTTGTAAATGCAATCTGGTGCTGGAGAAGAAAGGATATCTGTGAACACATTGATAGATATAACTATGGGATTGTTATGGTTTGTGTTTAGACGGCCCCTCAAAGCCTCGTGCATACATAGATGGGGCTTTCTCCAGAGGTGGCTGGATTTAGGGTATGTGAGGCTAGAAATGATTCATGGTGCAATGCTAGGCTCAGGGGAACTAGGATTAAGGATCAGAGTGTTACCCACCCTAAATAGCCTGGGTAACATATAAGAGACAGAAAGAGTTACAGCTGTGCCTTGTTGCCTTTGCTGTCTTCTGCCACCACGAACATTTTCTCCTCTGTGATGCCCCTCTACCATGTGGCACCCTGCCTTGGAGGCAGCCGACTAGGGGTGGAAACCTGTATAAACTGTGAACTAAATAAATCTTTCCCCCTTTCACTCTGGTTGTCAGGTATTTTCTCTCAGCCATGAGAAAAGTAACTAAGACACAGATCTTTCTTCTTGGGTCTAACAGCTTCTTTACAAATTAGACCCAAATGACTTATGGTCTGAAGACACCCTGACAGATCACCTAGTTCAGCCTTGAGTTCCTGTTCAGGGTGGGACCCTTTGGAGGTCATGAGGAAAGTGCTCAGAACTCTCCATGTGTGGTGATGCCTTCTGCTCCCAGCAGCAACTTATGCTCAGTCTGGCAGAAATTCCTTTTTCTAATAATGCTCATCCTTCATTATTAAGGGTTAGAGGAACCCTTTCTTCTATGCCATTGGTGGAGATGTAAATTAATATAGCCTCTATGGAAAACAGTACAGAGGTTTCTCAAAAATCTAAAACTACTGCACAACTCAGCAATCAATCCTACTCTTGGGTCATATCCAAAGGAAATTACAATAGCCAAGATGCAGAACCAGCCTAGTGCCAATCAACAGAAGAATAGAGAGAGAAAGCATGGTGTAGATACACAATGGAGTATTATTTGGTCATAAAGAATGAGATCCTGTCATTGCAACAGAATGGATGGGACGAGAAGAAGTTACATTAAATGGAATAACCCAGACCCAGCAAGCAGAACAGGAACTGGGGAGGCGCTGGTGTGCTGTGATGTGAGCAAGGCACATGGCTTGCTATATGAGAGGATTGCACTGGGTCCCTGTCAGATGTACAATCAAGATGCATTAATAAAAACTAAAAAGCGAACAAGGTAAAAAATGTAGAATGGAAGTAGGGGTGGGTGAGAAGCAGAGCGGCAGCTGATCTCAGACCTCATTTTCAGGAGCCCATGAATATTCATAGTTATCAGGAAGAGCACGGCTTTGTTCACACTTGCCAGAGTCTGAGCCCTGCAGGGACAGACACTCAGGTCTGGCTGAGAAGGTGACGTGTGGGAAAGGACCCTTCAGCTGTCTGTCTCTGAGAGTGACACTGACCGTCCTCCTGGCAGGTGTCCTGTGGCTAAGGCACTGTGACTCGGTGGCCCAGAGGTCCCGGCACAGCTGTGGTCACGGAGACCCAGGAGGGGTGGGAGGATGAGACAAGGCTGAGACAGTGCCGCTTCCGGTGCACAGAGCCTACCTGAAGGCCTGGCCTCTATGACGAAGCCCGTGGTGGGCGTGCTGCCAGCACTGCCCTCCATCCACTGCAGGGTCAGGTCCGAGGCAGATTTGGTGACTGAGACATCTCTAGGGGAACCTGGCGACCCTGCAGGACAAACAGAAAAGAGTACAGCCATTGGTCTTGAGGAGACTGGTCATGACTCAGTGAGGGGCCAGATCTTGATTCCTAGGTCTCTAGGCAGGTTATGGACCCTCACTCTACCATGGACTTCATCCTAAAAATGGGATGAGCTAGGTGTGGTAGAGGATACCTGCAGTCTGAGCTCTTTGGTAGGCTGAGGCAGGAAGGAATCAAGTTTGAGCTTAGCCTGAGCAATTTAGCAAGACCTTGTCTCAAAATTAAAAAAAAAAAAGGATAGGGATCTACCTCATTGTGAAGATACTGGGTTCAAAAAAAAGCAGGGAGTAATCAGAGGTCAGAAAGAGATGGTACAGACAGAGCACCCAGCACCTGCTGTACTCCCTGAATACTGTCCTGCTGCCGAGGCCTCATCAGCATCTAAACAGAGGCCAAAGCTTGTTAAGTGGGAAGTTACATAGTCCTTCCTTGTTGACATGTGAAAAGCTTTAAATTTTATTTCAAAAGTTGAATTCATTTCAGTTCACAAACTTAATTTGTGCTATGATTTTGGAAAAGATGGCCACATTCACGTTCATGAGGGAAAGATGGACACAGTTGTGTCCCTCACATGATGCAAAGTTAGCTAATGAAATGAAGTTTTGCCAAACACTTCTGTTTGTGAACCAAACTGCTCATGAACAAAAGCATTCCTGAACTGAGGTACCACTGTACCTTCTCTTTCTTATTTTCTCATTAAACAAATGCATATTTTCACATGTAACATATAAGAAGTTGCTCACTTGCTCAGGAGGAATACACCTGCAGCACTGCCCTGTGCTGTTGCAGGCCTCCACGTTGCCCATGCATCCATGTTGCTGCAGCTCTGCCCATCAGAGGGCTAGGCTGAGGATCTAGACAAATTCCCTGAAGTGAGGCTGAAGGTATGACCAACGTTCACCGGCCACCCAAGTCCCACTCACCCTCGGCTGGCCCGGCTGTGACATTGGCTTGGCGCTCAGGCCCGTAGGCAATGGTCCGCGCTTGGACACGGAAGAAGTAGGTCACTCCCTTGGTGAGGTCACGCACCTTCAGCCAGCGCTGCCGATTCCCTTTCACGTCTACTGTCACCACCTTGCTCACACCTGGACCAGCAAAAAAGCAAAGAGGAGTCGGTGCCAGGCCCTGGGAAGCAATCTTGCACTGTCTGATCTGTGGTCATAACCAGGAGAATGGCCTGCAGTTGGCTGAGGAAGTAGTTTTTCTAATTAAAAGGAATTTAAGTGGTGATCAGAGCCAAGTTTCAGCACAGATAAGTGTAATTAGAACTGAAGTTTGATAAGCAGTGCCAGTGAAGAAAAGAACCAAACCCACAATGCCTGGGGGAGATGACCTATCTCATGGCACTGTGGGAAGGAGGGAGGACACTCATCCAACACGTGGGTGACATGGGTAGGGGTGCAGTCCTGCCTGTCTCAGTACAGACTCTCCTGATGGCACTGTGGAGGGTGTCTCTTTTTCCACACAGCCATCAGCTGTACCAAATCTTGACTGTGCGCCTCATGGTTGAGTCACAAGGGAGAGGAGAGAACAGAAGACAGGCAGAAAAATACTCGGTAAGGTAAAAGGTGGGCTCCTCCATAAGAGGTCTGTGGCTTGACTGGGGTGGCCAACTTGTGGAATGCAGGCTCAAAAACTTGTAAGAATGTCATCTGTGGAAGCTAAGATAAAGAAAAATTCATCACTGCAAGTACTGATGCCTTGATTCAAGAACAATGACAACACAAAAGCAGGGTTTGCACACATGCTGTGTATCTAAACTAGTGAGCAATGCAAAAGGATTGCTAACTGAATTAAGCATAGGAGCACCCCCCCACCCATGGAGAACACATTTCTACCTGAAACCATGGGTTGTACCAGGTCCTAGATACACTAGCTGTCCCCTAGGTGCCCTGCAGTTTTGCTACTTAGTATCAGAGTCAACTTGTCCTTCTACGTTTGATGCCCCAGTTCCCCTTTGTACCAATGCCCTTGCACTTGGGGCTCTTAAAAAGTAAAATAGGGTTTCCTGGACAGCCTCTTGGATGCTGTGATGGCTCCTAGGTGACTAATGGGTGGGTAGCATATAGATTGTGGATACACTTGACAAAGGTATGATTCATATCCCAGCCAGGATGGGGTAGCATGGAGGGAGATTTCATCATACCATTCAGTATGGCACGTAGTTTATAACTTGTGAATTGTTTACTTCTTGAATTTCCACTCTAATGTTTTCAGACCACAACTGACTTCAAGCAATGGGAACTGCAGAAAGCAAAACCATGGGTAAGAAAGATTATTACATAATTAGAAAATTGAGATTTACTATCCGTGTGGGGGAGAAGGATAAATACTAAAAATTATACAAGGTGGTATTTTCTAGAAGGGAAAATGGGGACCTTTGGTTAAATAAGTTGGAGAAGATGCATTTTTTAAAATGGTAAGTGCTTCACTTACTCAGAGTTTTTAGTGGGCTAGTCCCTGTCAGGCCTCTCCTGGAGGAGGGTAGAGGAAGTGGCATTTCAGCAGAACTGCCTTTTGCACATGCTGGGTGGCATCTCCTGCCCCGGATTTGGCTGCCCAGTCACTGCCTAGACACAGCAGCCTGGGGTGGCCTGCCCTGGTGCTGGAGGACATGTGGTGCTATTCCACTCATTTATTCATTCATTGAGCTGTACTGGGGTTTGAACTCAGGGCCTTTATGCTGAGCTACACCTCTTTGTTTGGCACCTTTTCAATCCTGGTGGCTTGTTTCAGAGAAGCAGAACAAATTGTTTTCTCTCTAAAAAATGGATCCATCATTCTAAGCCATCAGAGCAAATTTCTCTAATCCTTAAGGTCTCCAAAATGCCTTCTAGCTGATTCACTGTTTCCATATGATGCCTCTTATAAAACATTTTCAGTTAAATTATTTCCTTCCAAATTATTTAACAGTGATTTTGGCTGACTTTGATTGACCCTCCATATTTGCATTTTTCTGGACAAAAACGGGGCTACTGCTCCTCAGCAAGCCTAACCCCAACCTTATACACAGTGCTCAGGAAAGAAGTCACAGGGGTGACCAGGCACAGAGGACTGTCATCCACAGATGAACTAGGTCCTGTCAAATGCAAAGTTATTCTGGTAGCAACTTCTTTTTCTGATGTAAAAAAATGCCTTTGTTCATTTCAGTGCAAAAACAAACCCTTGTACAGATTTTGTAAATTTGATCCCACTAGGAGGTAGAACTAATCTGGCCTTTTTTCTACCTCAAGTGTATCTGAATTTTATTTATTTAGTCATTTTTAAACCATGCCTTGCAATACAAAGCCTCAGGGTGCAATCCCATAAAATACTTCTGTTTAAAACATCTTTAAAAACATAAAAATAGCTCTGCCATCAAGCCAGATTCCCAAGAACAGGGTGGTAGAGTGCTGCAGGCAGCTCAGTGCTCCACGTGGCCTAGTGGTCCCAGTGCGTGATGGTCCAGTGATGTGGTGCTCTGGTGGTATGGAGGTCTCCAAAGTGGCCAGAGATCGGCCAGTGAGGGCTGTGGACTCATCTCAGCACACAGGATGTTCTAGGACTGTTCTTTTGATGTGTGACAGCACTGAGTAAAAGTAGTGCTCTCTGCTTCCCTGTCCTGGCTGGTCAATGCCACATACTGGGGTTTTGCAGTTGTCTGCGATAGGAAGACAGTTTTAAGCATCCACCAAACATCACTAGCAGATAAGGTCACTGTTGGACAACCTTCTCCTCATTTAAAAAACCATCTGTAGCACATTTTAAAGACTTCTGTCTGCAAAGCACACTTTAGACAGATAGCAGTTCACCTTCACACATATAAATATGTCTCTCCTATCTTTGGCAGACTTCACAAGAGAACCACTGTTACTGCTGAGTGAATACAACTCTAAACAAAGATGCTGGATGTTTGCATTATGTTTGCAAACATGTCTGCAGGAATCATGCAGCTTCTAGGAGACATTTAAAAATACTGAAAATCATATGGGGATCTGGTTACTATCTCAGCAGTGCCCCATTGGATATCCTGAATTCAAAGGTGGGGGGGGTGTCTTTGGGAGCCTTATGCAAAGGTAAATCTGTTCTGTGGGCCCTGGTGCCCCAGCACTGTGACCAGTTCGGCTCACACGCCTCAGGTCAGCAGTGGCACATATGCAGGAATCCAATATACCCAGGCCTGCACCAGGTTAGAACCTGGGATGATTTGTTCTTTGTCGCCTGCCTCTGCTGAGATGCTGACCAGACCTGGCCTGTGGGGCGAGTGAGAGCCCCAAGCCCAAGAGCTTGCCCTCCTCTCCTCCAGTCTCCCAGCACAGAGCCAGTAGCAGAAATATTCCAGAGGATGGCAGACAGGGACAATACCAGTGACAGACCGTCTTATGACTTGTGAAAGGAAGTGAAAATAGTTGCAAGTGAAGTGACCCCACCTGTTGTCACTTGGGTGGGTGACAAGCCCACACTGCTGTGCAGTCCAAGTTTGCTGTGACAGATCCTCCTCGCTCACCTCTACCTTCACATTCATAAATAGTGCTCTAGACATTCCCTCCACATAAGCAGTGGAAACCTGGCTTTGGAGCAGGGCCACCTACATTCAAATCCTACTTTCCTTCTCCAAAAGCAAGTTTGGAGCAAGTGAACTAAAGGCTCTACAAATGGTTTCTTTGTTGAAGAAAGGGAACTGAGGCAGCAGCTCTAGGACATGGGGCTGGAACATGCAAAGCACAGTGTTTTGTGGTGAGTGTTCAGGTAACACTGCCCATCTCTGACCCCTGTGGGATTTGATTGACAGGGTGCACACAGAGAGCCCCAAGTGCACTGAACATGACAAACACGATCATCTAATGTGACATCTCTCAGATCTTTGCTTTCTCAGTAACGCAAAAGTGATTGTAAAGGTAAATAAGAAACTGCCACCTTGGTACTGCATGGGAAACCAGCAATGTGGATCCTGTCCCTTGGAGAACGGGCTGGGGAGGTTTTGCAGGAGCCCAGGAGCAATAGAGCGTAGCATAAACGCATAGAGGAGGGACTCACAGTACACTCTGAGATCATATGTGGAATTTCTGACTGAGAATCATGTGTGGGCCCATGCTCTTGTACAAGACAAGAATAGCTGCCCATGTAGGGCTCAGGGGTGCATGCTGTAGGGTCCTTGACGTTCTGCAGCCCATTACTGTAGGACAAAGCATCCCTGTAAGGTGCTTATTGGAAGAAGAATAAGAAAACTCAAGCTGTCTTCGAATGGGAAGGACTCAGAGGACTCAAAGGTCAACAGGAACCCTGGTCTTTGGCAATCCTTTCTCGCTTCAATGGCTCTCTTTGGTTAATATTCTTGGAAAGGCATTTGTAACATGGGCTCATGAAACATGAACTTGTGTAGATATACGTGTGTGTGCGTGTGTGTCAGGCAAGCAGAGGGAATGCTGGCAGGCAGGATGGAAGGTCTCCCTGTGGAATGCACAGAAGAATCAGGAGGTCCCTTTCTGCACACCTGCCCCTCATAGGAGCCACGACAAGCTGCGCAGTTCCCAGACATAGGACACAGCGGAGCAGGGGCCAGGAGAACTCCATAGCCTTTCAATGCTCACTCTGCACTTGAGAGCTCCATGTCCACAGATCACTCACTGTTACTCACCGAAGCGTATCGATCATCTCAGGCACACTTTGTTTTTCTTTCTCAACGTTCACATCTCTGATTTGGGATGCAGCTCAGAACTGACAATATGGAAGTATCAGGCCATAGTTTATTGGAAGCATTTTTTTTCTTAGCATGACATAAAATGACGATGAATCTTATCGTCAATGGCATCTTAGATTTGGCGAGATAAAATCTAGTGCTTAAATGTCCTCCTTCAAATCACCTCCTGTATTATCTTAATGTGCTTATTTTAAAAGGAAATTTTTATCACGGCTTTAAATGGAGGGCCAATATTATTTGATGTACTGGTTATAATTTTCCTCCTAGACATTAAATAATCTATAATTTTTACAGTCTATCTGTGTACATTCCTAGGGGAGCCTGCCCTGTGCCATGGGGGAGAGACAGCTGGACTTGTCTCTAGGTGTACAATGGGGAGAGAAGAATGCCAGAGGGCCCTCAGTGGGGACAGATGGCCACAGAAGGAATTAAAATGATACAGAGACAGGGGACACTTTGAGCCCACAGGTACCTGCCTGTAGTCCCTGGACAGGTCCCAGTGGCTCTGCCTGCGGGACATTCCCTCACCAACACTTCTGTCGTCCTCACCCTGTGCCCCCTGCCCAATAGCCCCCCACACCCCCACCCAGCTGCTCTCCACAATCCTGACTTCCTTGATCCCTGCAACCCATTCTTCTGCCAGCCAATTGGATTTCATCTTTGGCTTTCATCTATTATTCATTCTCAAGCGTTTGCCTGCCTTAGCTCAGGCTCCTTTGAGTCTTAACTCTCCCTTCTCACTTTCTGGGTGGTCTGTTTCTGATTGATAGAGGATGTTACAGGGTGATGATCGATAATCCTCTTTGCATCGTGTGGCATTCAGGGGGTGTTATTTAGCCAGGAGGACACTGGCCTTGTAGAAGTCAGTCCTCTGCTCCACTTTCCTTCCCTAGGAAGCTCCAGACTATCTTGAAAAGCTCTGGCTGGTGGCATGGTCTCCACAGGGGCATACCAGGCCCTACCCTCTCAGGACTGTGCACACAGAGACCTCTGTGGAAGGTTTTCCCTTGGGTGTTTCCCTTGGGTGAGTCCTCCTTCACCCTCAGCCCCTTTCCAGGCACACACACTCCCATTATTCTCAAAGCATCCATCACTATCAGATTTTTGCTTGTTGGTTTAGTTATCTGTGTGCTGTCTCTCTCTTTCTGGAACAGAAACTGTTTAGGAGAGCAGGATGTCAGCACACAAGTCAATGAGGACCCTTGCTTTCCTAGGTCAGTGGATTCCAGCACTTGAACAGCTCTCTGTGTGCAGCAGGTGCTTAAAACTGCTGAGTGAATGGGCAATGGAAGGGGGTTCAGAGCATGAAGGGAGGTGGGTATCTGCACCTCTTCCAAGGTGTAGATGGTGTCTGGAAGGTGGGTGCTGAAGTAGAACTTAGGGTGCCTCTGTTGGGGGTGTCACAGACAAGAATTAGAATCTCAGGGAGGTTCACGGCATGATCCCATACGGCACGCATCACCTTGGACTTGGACATGCAGAGCTGTCTTAGCCCAGCCTCCCCTCCTCCTTCTGGGTTCCTAGCAGTGAGGGGTGGTGCACCTGCCTTGATCCCTCTGCTCTTACCTTGGACAGGCGCCAAGGGCTCATAGACCACTCGGTAGCCCTGCAGGATGCCATTGGCCGCCACTGGCTCCCCCCAGGACACATTCAGTGTGGTGGAGGTGATTTCGGAGAACGCCAGGAAACTGGGGGCCCCAGGAGCTGGAAGAATGAACACTGTAGTGACTTTCACGGAGGTGCCTTTATGGATCCCACGCACACACATCTGTGCCTCCATAAAGAAAAGGAAATGTTATTAGGTGTTATTTTCAACCCAGTAAAAGTCTAAATGCCACAGAATGAAAAAGAGAGGCATTGATCACCTCCGAACTCCTAGGATCAATCAGAAACACAGAGTGGAGAAAATGAGAGAATCAAACACAAAGGAGCTGAGAGGTGGACTGACAAAAGCTTGAAAATGAATAATGGATGGAAACAGAAAATGACATGCAGATGGCAGTGTCCAGAGACAGCTGGAAGGTTCTAGGGGCCCCTGTCCTGCTCTTTTGGGGAGAGGTGGTGCTCAGTGGTGGACAAGGGCTCTCCCCATCCCTCCCTTCCTCTCCTCCTCTCCTGTCACAGGGGTCCAGAGGTCTTTGAGGATATCCTGTCCTTCCATCTAAACCCTTTGGCTCTGCGGGCACAGATAGCTGTGCAGGGCTGCGAGAGGAGGTGGACGGCTGAGTAGCTGAAGCTGCCAGTAGAAATGAAGGCCAGTGTGTGACTGGGAGCATGGCAGGGCCATTCACCTCTGCTCTGCCGGGACTCTGCACATGGGTATGTACTGAGGCTGTCCTCTCACTTCACCCACAGCCTGGTGGGCACCTGGCTTCCTCCTTCCCATATCTCTTGCTGCTTGGAAGCACCTGCTGGAGTGGCACCCACCTTGTCTCTGCTTTGCCTTGTCCTTGGGTCCTTTAGTTCATGAACCACCACATTCCAGTGTCCTAAAGTGGCTTAGCTCTGTTCTCTGCTCCACTGATCTAGTCACATCCTTCCAGCTCAGATTCCCAAGCTGGCCTGGGGCACTGGATGAGAGCAGAAGGAGGCAGCCCTGGCGCTCTGGCATAGCTATCTATGCCACAAGGCGGGTGCCCTGGCCAGGGGTTAGTCTCCTGGGTGCAGTGTCAGTCCACTGAGCCCACAGAACACTAGCAATCCCTGAGCCCTGCATCTTCATCCATGGCCTCCTGGACCTTGGTCTCGCAGAGGGCCACCTAGAGCCTCAGGACCCAAAGCCAGGCTGCCATTTGTTGGGAAGACTGAGATTCACTGGAGGATGGCCTATTATACACTTGCTGAGCCCTGTATCAGCCTGAGGCTGCCAGCAGCATAGCTCCACACACAGCTGCATCTGCTCTTGGACCAAGCCTGGGGGTGGCTGTTCTAGGGGCAGTGTGTGGGCCTGGCCTTGATATACAAGGAGCTCAGCCCCCAGAAAACTGTGCAAAATGACAAGGTGGCTCTGGACGGTGCCCTGAGCATTAAGAATGATGCCAGGCTGTAAGACAGAGCCCTTCCTCCCTTTGCTGCCCTCTTAGGTTCCAAAAAACACATGCCCAGCTCTTACCATTATCATCCAGCACTGACCTACACCACGACAGGCCAGGCCTGGGGAAGCACACGTCACCCCAGTGCTGCCTCTCTTGGGACTCCTGGGTAGGGGTGTGAAGGACAGGCAGAGCACAGCACCATGGAAACCAAGAGAAAGGACACTGTTCTACTAGGGGACCCAGAGGCCACTAGGGAGGTGATACAAGCTAAGATCTCAAAGTTGGTCCCACCAAGGCCTGCAGAGAGGAAGCTGGTGCCCACATACCAGCCTGGTGGGTGCGTCCCTGCCGGGGGTCACTTTTGGGCCCGTCTCCAGCAGCGTTGAAGGCAGATATGCTGACCAGGTATTTGGTGTGGCTGGTCAGGTTCTTAAGCTTCACCGCAGGCTCTGGGAGGAAGAGGACCTTCATCTTCTCTGTTTCGTTCTGGCTGCCTGCCTCCCAGTAGTAGATCTGTCAGGAAGAGACCAGGCTGAGGGTGCACATGGGGAAGCCCTGAGGTGAGGGTAGGCTGTGTCCAAGGACACTGTGGTGCAATAGCCACAGGCACTTGGAGTGTGGTACTGTGGGTGCAGGTCCTTGCTGTTAGTGCTATCTGGCCATGGGTTGCATTTCTGAGGTGTCATCTGCAATCTAAGCATCACTCAGTCAAACTGCTCTGAGCGGGGCCTAAGGACAGAAGCCTCGTCCCATCAGTCACTAGTTCTGTGCCTGTGTTATGGAGCTCATTGCACTGGTCACCTCTACCCTTTCCCATAGGAAGAAGACCACCTACTGTCTACCTCGCTGTGACCCATGCATAGACAGAGCCCCAAACTCCCATCCCCATGTTCTTACATTTTGCTCAAACTCTGTATCTAAATATTTGGTTGATGAGGCAAAAATACTTTAGAAATTAAAGTAGCAAAATAACCAGAGACCCACATTGGGCTCAGAACTGGTGGGAAAGATCCTGTCTCTCTTGGGTAGCATTTCCTCCCCTCTGGCTTTGATGTGCTTGCAAGTGAACTTGATATCCAAGTACAAAGGTTTGAACTGGTTGCCAGAACTGTTTCCCTAGATAGCTGGCTGGGAACCACCATTCTAGCCAGTGCCAGCTGGGCTGCCCAAAGACAATACCACTCTGTGGATCCACCTTGGCTCATGGGCCTAAGCCCAGGCCAGGCCCCAAGAGCAGCATGCCTTGTGTAAAAGCAACACAGAGGTGACACTGGGCACTGGGGAAGCTGGGGCCAATGGTCTACCTTGTATGCCCCCAGGTCACACCTGCATGGAGCAAGCCCTGACAGATGAGCATGGCTGATTTCCATTTGCAAGACACAGGGGAGCTGACCAGAGAGGATCTCCCACTCACAAAGCCCCAGCTAACTTGTGATCAATACCCAAGTTCAATATCCAATGTCTTCATCATTAAGGAAATGAGAAAACATATTTTGGACATAACATAAATTGCACCTGGCCTCTGGGCTCACAGGACCTTCCAGTACCTCATTAATCACTGTAACAGCCCTGCCATGGAGGAAGGTATTAATTTTCATAAAACACCTACAAAAATCATTTTTAAATGGACATTTAATTGGCCCAATAGTCATCAGGGCAGGCAAGCCCAGAGAATCTGGTAACTGATCAACTGGGGCTCTTGGAGACCAGACAAGGGCATTAATTCTGGGAAGGATGTAGGTGTTTTCTGTAGGCGTTCATGGGTATCCAGGGCTCCTGGATCTTAGCTTAGGGAAGCAGCCAGGAGCACCTTGCTATTGGATAAAACACTCTGTATAATCATTCCACCCTGACACTTGGTACACTGTGCTGTCTTTCTTTTCCTCCACCTCTACAGCATTTAGCTATTATATTCCAGTGGTTTTCAAAGCGGGGATCCCAGAATCCATATCACCTACAAACTTATTAGACATGCAATTGTCAGGCCCCATCCATCCCAGAGTTTCACTTAGTGAGTTGACAGTCTCACTTTGAGTAACGTCCATAAGTGACCCAGGCAATGCTGGTATGGAGAGTATATTCTTTTGAGGACACTCTGTTTCTTGCTGTAATCAGCAAATGGGCTGGGGACTCTGGATTAGACACAAAAAGAAACCAGGCTCCTTCTGCAAGGCCTGGGGTCCATAGCAGGGAGAAGCCCTCAAGACCTTTGGATGAGCTGTAGCTGCCACCTGGGTTGTTCTGTGATGGGCACAAAGCAGCCCCTGCAAATACCCACAGCCCCATAGCTTTGACCCAGGGCCTGGCCTCCAGGCTGTGTGCCTGCTATCCATCTGCTGCCAAGGAAGCAGCAGGGGACAGTGAGCCAGGCAGTGCACTGGAGCAGGGCCAGCATCCCAGCTGAAGCCCTCTGGTCTCCTGCCGGGAACATAGTGAGCAGAAGCAACAGTCGCCCCGTCAGCTTGCCTTGTAGCCCTGGATGTTCCCATTCTGGCTCTCTGGAGGTGGTGGGTCCCATGTGACCTCCAGCTGGCTGGCTGTCAGTGGGGTCACCTGGATGTTCTGTGGGGCCATCGCTGGAGCTGAGGAAAGAAGAGGACACAAGGGTAACTGGGATGTCCCTTCACGAGCCATCTGGGACCACCACAACATACATACGGGGGTCACAAAAGTCCTAATTCCATGAAGGGCAGCATGAGAGAATGTCCTGGACACCGCCCAGCTTGGGAAGCTTCAGGCAAACACATACCGGCTCCACACTGTGTTACTGCAGATCTTAGCCCTTTACATCAGGGAATGCTATAAGCCCTTCCAGAACATTCTTAAATGCATAAAGTATACAGAATTTCAGAGGAAACTGATTCTACCGATAAGTTAGCAGAATATTCAATGACAAACATGACATTGGTGATTACAGGAGGCAGGCTCAGGGGATGGTCTGATATACTGCAAGATCAAAGCAGCCATAAGTGTGGCTGACTTGGTGGACTTGGAGGTCCCAGTGGCAGCTGGGGGGTATAGTTGGGGACACCTGTGGCTCCATGGCAAGAGTACCAGAGGCATTACTGTGCCAACATTTATGATTGGGGAAATGCTGAATTTTGGGCAGAAGTTACAGAAAATAAAGACATCTGTGCTACTATCACAGGCTTCGCCCAGTTTCCTGGTTATAAAGCCCCATTGTAGATGGAGCTATGAGGGGACATCACAGAGCTGCCCTTCCTTGAGGACTGGTTTCAGTGAGCACGCCTGGCTCCAAGGTGCTCAGACTCCTGGCTCCGGCTACAAATTCTGAGTACCAAATTCTCACTTGTTTTCCTTCCTTTCTAGTAGGAAGTGATCCCTGGTACCATGTCAAGGTCACAGCAGACTGCATGCAAAAGACAAAACCATGGACAAGGACAGCTTGGCCATACCTCCCCAAAGTGCCACGAGAGAGCTGTGGGCAATGCAGAGAGCACGTGCTGTGTTCTGCAACATTTCTGTCCTCTCTGTATTGCCAGATTCACACTCTTTTAATTCCATGCCAGGCACTTTCTTATGGTGATCTGTTCTCTGCTTCCTGGGTGCTACTCCTTTCTCCCACCTGGACACTCCCAGTGGAAAATGGGGGTGGGCTGGACCCTGAGAAATTGTGTGGAGTTTTTCTTGGGTTCCTGACTCTAGGAAAGCAGAAGCTAGCTGAGTCCTCCTCACTTCCTGCAACCCTGGCCTGTTTCAGGGGTGCTGGCTGCCTTTGGATTCAATCTGTTCATAAATATAGGTGACCAGACAGTCACTGTCCAGGGACATGGCCAGCACCCAGACCAAGAGGCCTTCCAAGAAGAGAATGACCTCATAAGTCACCCCATCCCAGGGCCCCCTCCCCAGTTTCTGCTCCCCCCAGTGTAGAATAAAATAGTAATTAACACCCGCTCAGCCTGACACCAACTATTTATTTTGTCCTAACTGTGTGGTTTCCATATTATCACTGCCCACCCTGCCGTTAATGGAAATGTTAATAACCCGCACCAGGTTGCTGTGACAGATGCTCAGCCTCATTATCAGAAATTCTTATTTACCGCTCCATTAAACAACAGAATCACACAAAAAAACAATTCAATCAAAACTAACTGGAGGAATTTTAACAGCCACATTAATAATCCAAAACATAAATAAAGTTAATGTCTTTTGCATGTTTGCCATCGGCAACTCTATTGCAAAATTACTGTTGTACAATTAAAATGTGAAAGGCAAAATTGAGCATGGCCATTACCTAATGACCTCATAAGTCACCCCATCCCAGGGCCCCCTCCCCAGTTTCTGCTCCCCCCAGTGTAGAATAAAATAGTAATTAACACCCGCTCAGCCTGACACCAACTATTTATTTTGTCCTAACTGTGTGGTTTCCATATTATCACTGCCCACCCTGCCGTTAATGGAAATGTTAATAACCCGCACCAGGTTGCTGTGACAGATGCTCAGCCTCATTATCAGAAATTCTTATTTACCGCTCCATTAAACAACAGAATCACAAAAAAACACAATTCAATCAAAACTAACTGGAGGAATTTTAACAGCCACATTAATAATCCAAAACATAAAGTTAATGTCTTTTGCATGTTTGCCATCGGCAACTCTATTGCAAAATTACTGTTGTACAATTAAAATGTGAAAGGCAAAATTGAGCATGGCCATTACCCCGGTTAGGAACCCCTCAATGCCCCCAAGGGTTCCTTCGAACAAACCCGGTGCAGTTATAGCCCTGGACTCAGAAGTCTATCTGCAGGAACTGGTGGAATTCATGTGCTCCAGGCAACCTCTCACCCCACACCTGGGAGCCCACATGTCTCTTGGCTGGGGTTGACACACACTGGACAAAGGCCCTGGTGCTGTTTCAGGTAGGTGAGATGCTTCCATGTCCCCAGCAACTGTGCAGCAGTAGGGTGCTTTGTGCCTTAAAGATTCTGCAGGTAACAAAGAGTCTGTTTTGGTACATGACACATGCAGGGAAGAGAGAAATATATGTAAACACTGAGCAGAGCCTGTCAAGTTTCAAGATTTATTTTTTTGGCTCCTGAAAGCTGCTGGACCTCCAGCCTGATAAGAGAACTTGAATTCAAGGAAGGCCCTGCTGTTCCCAATGCTGAATGCAAGCCTCATTCAAGGAACATGTGTGCAGTTGGGGGAGTCGGTGGAGCGCTGGCTCAGTCATCTTTTTGTTCCCTTATCTTAAACATTTGTGGCATAAGGAAAATGCAAATAGCAGCTAGCATGTTTCTTTAAAATGCATGAAATCATTTTAAAAAATCATTTTAACCAAACCAGCAATTTCTGGATTTGCTGAGTCACAGATTGCCTACAAACAGTGTCAGAGGTGATTGGAAAGGTTACTGTGCAAGGCTGAGATCGGCTCTGTCTGTCTCAAGCAGGGCTGATGATGCTATGACAGAACCATCTGCTTCCGGTCTCAGCAGCGTTGCTCCTGTACACCCACCAGGGCACTGGAACAGCCTTGGAGAGAGATCTCATGAACTAATAACACAGAAAGCTCGGGGACTTACAGAGGCATTCTGTACCTGACAGCTTTAGTAGTGTTCCAGAGATTTCTGAAATTTTCTGGAATCCTGTCTGATTGCTTGGGGAAGCCCTACTAAATTGGGTGATGTCGGCTGAGCCAGGTTCTCCCTGGACCTGCTGGATCTGCCAGGAAAGAGTCAGCTGGACTCTGGCAGGGAAGCCCCACAGAGAAGTTAGGGCAGTGGTCTGTCCATCTCACTCAACTCTGGGCTAGCTCGCCACTCCAGGTCGACCAGCAGCTTTAGCTGGATCAAGAAATAGACACTGCAACACAACAGCTGCAGTCTTCGTTTTGTGTTTTATTATTCTATGTCCTCTCAGATGTGAATGACCTTGCTGCCACAGGGCCCTGTACCCAGCCTGGGCTCAGCCCTTACCTTGTAGGAACCTTTGCTATAAGGAGAAAGCAGATGGCACTAGCACACTCAAACCACATAAGGAAAAGAGAAATGCTCCACCCCGGGTCTTATTTCTGTGGTCTCAGTTACTCATGATCAAACACAGTCTAAAAATATTACATGGAAAATTCAAGAGACCACATTTAGGTAGCTTTTATTACAGTATACTGTTGTTATATTGTATTTTATTAGTTGTGGGTAATTGCTTACTGTGTCTAATTTATGAATTAAAGTATACCACAGGTATATATAAATAGGAAAAACTAGCCCACACAGGCTCAGTATATTGACAGTTTCAGGTCTCCTCTGGCATTTGGGATGGACTGAAGAGGAGGGGATTCCTGTGGATGAGGGGGTAGCTGGGCATGGCCTTTGGTAGGGCAGCAGAGGCCTGAAAGAGCAAGGGGAGGGTTCAGAGTTGTAGGAATGGACCCTGCAGTCAGGAGGACGCTCATTCATTTAATCCTTCATTTTCCCATTCAGATGTCCACTCCACCACAAGTTTGAGCTGTCTGGGCAATGTAATAACTTAGTAAGACTAACTTAAAATAAAATAATTTTTTTTTAAATGGCCAGGGATGTAGTTCAATGTGAAGGCTCTGCTGGTTTCAATCCCCAGTAATGCAAAACAAAGACAAACCCACTTCCTATGGTGGGGGATTCATCTGACTTTAGACAGTGGCAGGGCTGTGGGACTTGTAGTATCCTCTGCTGATTCCATGGACCACATGACTTTCTTTGATCAAGGGCAGGGGAACAGCAGCAATATGTGGGCAACAATGAACAGGGGCCACAACTTTGAAGAAGCTCCAGAGGGCTATGTGGCCACAGCCCCCTTTCCTTACCCTCTAGACCAGCTGAGCCTTGGTCTGACATAGAGAGCAGGAGGCAAAGATGTGTGGCAGACCCTGAGGGCAGGCCATATGGTGGTGTCATGTGGGTGTTGGGGCCACTGAGGCCCGAGGCTTTGTTTCCACTGGGCATGTTTGCTGGACACTTCCTGAATATTAACCAGGTCCTGCGCTTAGTGCTGGACTTGGCTGGATACATAGATGTAAAAGACAATTTAACAAGGGAAAAAAATTGCTATAATGAAAACGCTAGGTAGAGCTGAGCACACATTCACAGGACCAGGAGAGGTGGCTTCTGGTTGAGGATGCATATTTTTTCTGGAAGACAGAATATCTGGCTGGCTTTTAAATAATGGGGAGGATTTACCATAGGACAATGGGCCAAGGAGTGAGGGCACTTTTGAAGGTGAGAAAGGAAGGAACAGAAATCCAAAGCGAGAAAGCTGGTGTCTACTGAGTTCATAGTAGGCAGAAGATCATCTGATCTAGGCCCACCCACGGGCGCAGCAGGTACCCACTACCACTAGGGCCACCTTTGACCATGCAGGGCTTCTGCTGCTACTGAATCATCTTGGTCATGCTGGGCACCTGCTTTTGCTAGATGCACGTTAGACTATGACAGACAACACTAAGTTTCTACTTTCAATTAGTATTTGGATAGCACAGGTTTTTAACTGATACTTTGAGGATCATTATTAATGTTTTACTATAATGAAATGTGTTTCTTTATACGATTGAAGAAAATTCTATTCTCATCAGTTCACTTTAATTACA